CTTTGATTTCGCTTATGTTGACTTGACTTGATTTGACCTTTGCCTATCTTCAGTGCTATGCTATGCTCATGATGTATGTCCTCGCTACTCTTGCTCCTTATCGATAAGACTGTGCTATTCTCCATGTCATTCTCCCTATGAGTCTTCCTTTGTTTTTCTGTACCAGCATGTTACTACGCTCAGGCAGTGCGCTCTCATAGTCGACTTGCTGCTCATTTTGCGCCTATGTTGCGACTCCCAGCACTCTCTACGTTTTCATTGAACCCTGTGATACGCGCAGTGTGAAGCAGGTCCCATTGTCCAGTCAGCTTCTGCGCCTGCAGTTCATTATGCTCAGCCTCTTCTGGCTGGAAGTCCAACGCGCCCAGCGCACTCAGACGAAGGACGGCAGGACGACCGCCGCGACAACAACCGAAGAGCTATCATGGCTCTTACGCGTGGCCACTCACTGATCAATGAGAAGCTAGACGTGGACTATGCCGCAGCGCAAGACGTCTCGACCGTCCAGGCTATCATCCAGAACGCTACGTCCATTCACGCGCTGACTTTTGATTACCAGGGTGCTGTGCTATGGGCATACTCTCCTCCATCACCGCCGCGATCTGCTCTGCCACTCCGGAGTGAGACGAACTCGTTCCCAATCTATACGCTGCCAATCGTTCCTAATACCGCGCGAGACAAACCCACCGTTTGGACGACTCAAAGGTTGCCGTTGAGATTCGCAAGGCTGGCGCTTCGCCCCATGGTACTGCGGTGACGCGACGCAGACGGCCGACTCACAGCTTACCATATCCATCTGTACCCATCCAATCAGGTCCCCTCGAAAAGAGAGAAGCATCTTCAACACAAGAGCTCGCAAGGTTGGCGGACAAGGGATATACTAGCCTGCGAGCAAGGACACAGGAGTTGCTGAGTGCATACACTGGGACGCTGGACCTGCCGGGCAAGCATACTCTTGTGCGCTTGGAGGAATTGGGCAATGTTCATTCGGGCATACAACAGGATCTATCAGATATCACCGGCAAGCACATGGTCAATAGACATCACAAGTTCTCAAATAGATCAATAGAAGTGTAAACATCGGTTAAATAACCAAAGCGCTATGCTACAAGAAACGGGTGTATATACACAAAAGAAGCGAAACAGTCGTCGTATCCAACGAACGAACCATCAAAAGGTTATCTCTCTCAGAAGAAGGGTATCCATCACATCACATCATCCCCAGCGTGTTTCATCGACGCTTACAAGAAAGAGCGAGCGTGGCGGCGAGCCTTGGAGGCAGAGCCGCTGGCCTTGCCCTCCAACCAGGTGATGAAGGTGTCGATGGTGAAGCTCTCGGGGAGGGCGTCACCGCCGGTGGAAGGAGCAGCGGAGGGAGTAGCGGAAGGAGCAGTGGAAGGCTCGGCCTCGGGGGTAGCAATGGGGCTGGCGGAGGCAGCGGGAGCGGAAGGGCTGGCGGCGGGTGCAGAGGGGCTGCTGCTGGCGCTGGGAGCAGTGGAAGGAGTGCTGGGCTTGATGGGAGTGGTGCCATTGCTGGGAGCGGAGCCAGAGCCGCCGGAGCCGAAGAGAGGAGGACCGGGGACGGTGTAATCGATGGTGGCGCCGTAGGGGCTGAAGAGGATACCGGGGTCGGTGGGAGTGTAGAGCTCGGTGCCGATAACGCCCTCTGGAGTCTCGGTTCCGGAGCCAGTAACCTCGATGTTCAAGCCTAGAGATTCAATTAGAAATTGGTTCTTCATGTGATCAGTGGGGTATTCTTACATTGAGGGTAGTTCTGGGCGCCGTTGACGTCACCACCGCCGTGGAGGGCGATGATCTCGTGGCGGAAGACGTACTTGCCAGCGGCAAGGCTCTCGGGGACAGTGACGGGCCAGGTGTTGTTCTGGCCAATCATCTTGACAGCAGCCCATTCGCCGTTCTCGTAGCCAGCACCGTCGATCTTAGTCCACTTAAGCTCCTCCTTCTTGACGGCGGTAACGTCGCCAGTGTAGGGAGCGACGTAGGTGATGACCGGACCAACGTGGCTCTCGGGCCAGGTGCTCCAGTGGAACTCAACGGTGCCACCGGCGGCGACCTTGGCCATGCTGTCGGAGCTGCCCTCGGGGCTGGCGGCCTTGTGGCAGATGATGTCGGCATCGCCGAAGGAGTTGGGCTCGACGAAGCCGTTGTCGAGGTTCTCGGCGTACCAGCCAATGTGCTCTGGCACCTGGCCGCCGTTCTGCTTGGCGTAGTAGTAGTCGAGGCTGAAGCCCTGCTGGAAGACACCGTCGATGGTGACGCCGTTGACAATGCCGTGGGCAGTGGCGGTGGCAGCGAGAGCCGCGATGGCGCTGAGGGAGGTAACGGTCTTGTACATGTTGACTGATGTAGATGGAGTTCTTCGAAAGAATGGAGTTGGTAGGTTCGATAGAGACGAAAGTTTGGAAGTTGTTGAAAGAGTGTCTGCCGGCTTCACACAGTGAAGGACTTGATGAACGAATGTGAGTTGAAAAGAAGGGACTGGTATAGAACCGAAGATTGAAGCTGTAGCGATGGTGCTTGGAGTGAGGTACCAGGTGCCCTATTTATTCAGTTCAGTCTCTGCTCCTACAAATGCTCGGCATCCATTGACCCACATCCTGGGCGACTCGCAAAATGAGAGCCCAGAATGGTGGGTTCATGCCGGGCGCGCAGGAATATGCATCCCGCGTTGTTTGAATCGCCATGTTTCCTGTTGCGGAGAGACAAGCGACATTGTCAGGATGCGCAGGCCGTTTCCTGCCTGCAGCCAAGAGCCATCCCACGGCTCCGGACCAGTTCCAGAATCACTGCGCCCTGCCACAATCCAGTTCTCGGTCTCCGGTATGCATCGTACGCAGCGTATTCGTCGTCATGAATCGTTCCGGTCGGCGTTGTTGTGGTTTCGGGTTCGAGCGATAACGTGCAGCGGGGCCGCGCGAAACGTGCATCCCGCGTGTTCCTGGATTCGCCCTTGCATGCTGGCGCCGCCAAGAGGTTAGTTGTTTCTGTCAAACGAGGTGCCGAGAGCGCCCCATTTTGTGGCGCCTGTCAGATGTCTAGATCCGATCTTGCTGGGTTGGTAGATGCGGTGTTGATGAACGGTAGGGTTGATGTTCATGCCCTCGATGGCGGGCGTGGAAGGTACGTCAGTAAGACGGTCCGGTTGCCGACCTCGGGAACCCAGCTGCCGTGACCTCATCATATCATCCCATCTCCAAGACACTCCGACCGACCAAATTTGTCGCATGCAACACCAAGCTTCCTTCGATCCTGCACAATATCCACACCGATGTTGTCGACTCGTCGACGTCGCGCGCGCAACCGTTATGCACCCCTGACAGCGTAACCGATCCTTGGGGCCCACCACCGGACTTCGCGTGTGCAGCCTGGTTTCAGACGTGAAACGGCCAACATTGCCCCCAATGGTAGTGAGCGGAGATGCGCCTAGATCGAGGCAGGCGTGTTTGACGACATCGTCGTCGATATTAATCAAGTCGGGTATTCGGGGGCGGCGCTTCTTGGACGGCTGGCGGTGCAACTGCATGTCAGGCGCGGCGCCGTCGACTTTAACATCTTTCTACCTCTGTCTTTAACCGTTCTGCCTTTTAGGCTGTCGATGTATATGGTGTGGGCCTGAGGCTGTTTCTTCTTCTCTATGTCTCAAACGTAGCTCGTGATAAAAATCCACAGCAGGTTGGTATGACGGAGTGCCGTCTCTCATCTATTCCAGTGCGTACCTCTCAACCAGTCTCATAGTGTGCTGCAGCCGGAGTCTACCTGGCCCTTTCCAAGCTGTTGTAGTGCGTTTCTTTTTCTGGGGCGTAGGCCCCATCTCCACCGCACATATTGCCAATACTCCTCTTCAGATCTCCCGGTATACGTCAGGCTAGATTGTTCACGCCTATTTTTCAGTGTAGCGCCTTTCAAATACCCCCTGGGTATGTCATTTCGTCGATGTTTCCAAGGTGATGGTGTGACGTAGTCGCAATGTGCTGTCCAGCAACACCAAAACACTGCGCTGAGCAGCCAGCATGACAGCTCCGCGTGTACCTCCAGGCACCCTCATCACAAATCTACCGTAACTGCAGAACCACTCAAGTACTTCCTCGATCACTCATGGTACTGCTCTCGCGTCAGCTGGGAGGTGATGTCACCCTCACCATCCCACATATACCGCGTAAACTCTCCTTCTTCTATCGAAACAACCCAACTCAGGTCTCTTAGTCCAGTGGTAAGACGATCACTTACAATCTCCTGTGGTTTCATGCGGGTGTCAGTTGATTCTGGCACCTCTGTCGGGCCGTGGGGCTGTCGATAGGCGTGATTCCACAGTGTGTATGTGATAAACGCTAGTTCGACTCTAGCAGAGACCAAGTATATCATCTTTTTTTGCTAGATTTAAGTACGTACGTAAGGTAAGGTGGAGGGCAAGAGCGTTTGCGTGGGTGTGCCGCTCCGATTGTGATTTTCGTTGCCGGCTTGTTTGGGGTAAAGGACAGTGCTTTTTTTTTTGCCGACGTTGTCTTCAGTTTCCACACAACTCTGATAATTCTTTATGTATTATGGAGCCGGTTCTTCCTCCATCAAAACACACCAGGATTCTTGGTCTAATGGTATGACGACACAGACCGACAGGTTCTCCGTCAAGGTCATTTGTATAGTATGTGTATTGAAGGTAACTTCGGACCTGCTTGGAATGCCATCGTGACGCGCCCCACTTGTGTAGATCAAGGTTCGATCCCTTGAGAAGCTATCATTTCTTTTTGCCTCTGTAGACGTTCCTGTTCATGTCTACATTGGCTCTCTTTTTGGTCAAGGTCTGGGTAACTTTCTCGTTTTAGGAATACAACAGCGATAGGGGTTGAGTATCTACAACCCACGACGTCAATGTAGACCCTACGGCCCTTTGTACCTTGTTGTTGCGCTGGTTGTGTCCTCTTTGTATCCTGTAAAGCTTGTTGTGGTATGGCACGCGTTGATTGAAAAGTATACGTAAGCGGCTACTCCAACCACGCCTGCAGACCGCCAACCAGCAAAACAGCAATACCCAACACCCACTGCGCAACCCCAAAGGCACCCTGTACGTCGCCCTTCCTGACCGTCCACAGGATCGCGAACACCGCACTACCCAAGCCGCAAACACCCATCGTCACTGCCCACACGCGCTGCGCAAGGAACCCCTCCACGAGATGAACGCCCCAGCCCATACCGAACTCCAACCGCTGCCTCCGCTTTGGACTGCGAAGATACGTAATCAGCTCGCCCTCATAGTCCTGTGGGTGTTTGAATAAATGGAGGAGATACGTGCTACCAACAGGCGGCAGGAGGTCGTTGGGCTCGAAGGTGTACGGATGCTGAGACGGCGCTGCAGACTTCTCTGGCTCGCTGGTCGAAGCTGAAGAAGCAGCGGACTTGGGCGGCATAGACGGCGTCGCTCGAATATCAGCGAAGCGATTGCGATGGACTTCGAATTGAACAAACTCGATGGTCGTTAGCCCGCGAAGACGAGCCCAGTTGAACCACCGCCGATTGAGCTGGTCATAGTGCTCTCGCAGCGCGAGCGCTAGATCTTTGTCGCTTCTCACGCGCCCTTCGTTGACATCGAGATGGACGATCTTTGGTGTCAGGCGGCCTTCGTTCGCACAGGTCAGGAGCCAGGATTCTTGGACGAAGGACGGCATACGGACACTGAAGGGGTTGCTGGCGACGGTACGCGACGGGCTATACTTGGAAGGGTCGCTGGCTCTAGTCCAAGAGTTAGGCCCGCCGTATGTCGACGACGGCGTGGTCAATGTGGACGCTCTGCTCGACGAGTCAAAGATGGAGGCCATCGATGACGCGGTGCTGCTTTGGCTGGTAGGGCTATTTGGTGTATGAGCTCTTGGGCGATTGAGATAAGCTTCAAGAAGGCGGGCAGCATTGGGTCGCTGTTCGATGAAGTCGTCATACAATGGCTCACCGCATGACTACATCTTGTTAGCATGGTCCAGAGAAAGAGTATGCTGAACTACTGACGCAAGTCCATCGCACCCGCACATGCCCCTGCGGCACGGGTGGTTCAGTACCGAATGTATCACGAAGCAATCGAAAACCTTCATAGGCTTTGTCTGACAACGCACTCAATGCAAGACCCCAGTACCTGAATGTTGTGTTTCGACCATGAGGAGAGGCAATCCGTATTTCTGCTTCCGGAGGCAGCGGTATCTCGCCAACATGATCGTCGATCGGCGGCTCAACGATGGTGGGCACTGCAGGCCTTTCGAAATCCTCGACAAGATTGTCGTTTTTCGAATCGATATGATCTAACGCTCTTCTCAGCGCTTCACGGAGCTCATCTGCGCCACCCACTCCTGCCGACTGGGGTGATAGCAGTGCATTGGCGTCCTCGGTATCTATTGACGAAGAAGAGGATGATGTGTGCTTCCGTATTCTAGGTGATCTCTTGCGGCGCGTCACTGGCGATACATGAGCTGACTTGGTCTGAGGTAGGTCGGTGTCCAACCGTAAACCATGTTTGGGTCTGGCAGGGACATTTAGGTCGTCTGCTGATACGTGTCGTAGATGTCGTGGCTTGACTGCGCTCGCAGGCCGCATCGGTTGCGACCAAGTGGCATACTCATCGGTCGCTAGATCAATTCCACTCGACTTTCGAGATACCGGACGGATGCGTTGGCGCAAAGTAGTCGAGTTCACGAGATTTTCTACAACTTGACTATCGAATGCATGATTTGTCGATACTACGCGACGCTTGACGGATTTGTGAGCATCTGATCGCTTGAGATCCAGGTTCGTCGCACGACTCTTCACCCGAGGACGTGTCTTCTTCTCGACACGCTTCCTTACAGGTCCAACGACTGACAGGCCGCGTGTTGGCGTTTTGACGATACTTGAGACCGAAGCCGAGCGGGTGGGAAACAGCGATGGGGCATGAGATGACGGTTCTACATCAGTCTGATCCTCATCCATACGGTCGTGTATCGAGCGAATGTCTGGTATCAGAGTCTCGGCATCACTGAACCCGTCCTCCGCGATCGAAGTCCTGGCTAGACTATGATGCGGCAGATGACTCCTTTGTGGAACCGCAGACGGTGGTGGTCGTTGAACGCCTGATGTGTTGGAAGTACCGATCTCGAAGATATCATTGCGATCCAGAAGACTATCGGAGATTGATGCAATAGTCGTAGGTGGCGAATACAACTCCGCAGGCAGAGTCGCTGAGTCGAGCTCTGGAGTCTCAAATGTCTGATTCGCAGCGATATGCTGGCCCAGATCTATTTCTGCAATCTCGTTCGAGTCTGTCGACCCTTTCAGCAAGCGCACGACGTAGCCCTTTCCTTTCTTCTTGATTCTAGCTTTGATGTCCGTAAGTCGTTTGGATTGAGTAGAGGCTGTTGAGTCGCTACGAGAAAACGACACATTCCAGTCTGGCACGACCCTTTTAAGAAATTCGGTAGGTACATTGTCTAGATCGGCCCAGCCTTGCCTGTCGTGGAGAGGAGTGCTTGGCGGACTCGTCTTTTGAGGAACTGAGCTCTCGACACTAGACTTCAAGCCATCTCGTAGAGTCGTAGACGCGGCAACATTAGGTGCACAACTCAGAGGCACACCGATCGACGATTGTTGTTTCGGGCCCAGGTTGAAGACGAGCTGGAATTGACCAGGATTGCGTGTATCTTCCTGAAGATTCAGAGTGAACGGCACCGATTGCGTCTTTTCGTATTGTGGAAGAGGCGTTTCGCGCCCCACATCAGACGTCTTTGGATCATTGCTCATCGGGTGTTGTTGATTGAAGCGCAAAGGCACAGGAGAAGCGATTGAAGAAGCCTATCGCGATGCGAAGGTCAGCCACCAAAACCGTCAGATGCCCACTTTAGCCTTGCGATGACAAAGGGTTGCCCTGCCCGAAGCCTGAGGGCCATAGAGACTTACCATGTTCGCATAGTGTTCACGCCGCGATGCAGGAACAACCGCCTGAGGGACGCAGAGAGGGGCGACATCTTGCTGGTTTTGACCGGTCCAGGCTGCAGTCAGCTGTAGTTTCGACGAACCGGAGAGGACTGCTGCGGTCGTTCCTGCACTGCCACCACTGCTGCACAGCGATCAACGAGGCTGTCGTGCCGGCCCGCTGATTGGCGAACTTCATCAGCCGAACGCAGCCAGCATCACATGCGTGGGTTGCCTCATCTCGATATGCCTTCTTAACTCTGCCTTACCCGCTGAAAGCGTGGACGTACGATTGCGCAGCCTCGATACATTGTAGTACCTGCTTCTCGCCACCAGACGCGTCGCCGGTGTCATGTTTCTGGGCAGACCTCCTACGCGTCACGCTCTGACACGCCGCCGGAACTCAACAAACCTGTCCATTCGTGTACCAGACGAGATGCGCATCGCATGATCGCTGAATGGAATGCGCAGTCCGCATCGATGATGTTGAGATAGACTTCGTGGCTCGAGGTAGCGAGCTGTCGCGTTCCATGGCACCCGTGGACGCGCCTTCCCGCTGCCAATGCCGTGCGTCATGCCACACCCATCTCCCACTTCCAGCCCCCAACTCCCGACATATACATACACCACCACAACACAACTGCGGCATACCTCCGATCTCCAAGATCTTGGCCATGATGCTCCGGAGAGACTCTCGTCACATGCTCTCATCATTCTTCCGGACCAATCTGTTCAGAGTTCTTCCTCCGCGCCTCGGCACATTCGATGACTAGGCATTAGCCAAGTTGGCTAAGGCTTGCTCGGTGTATAAACTACCGCTTTCCCCGCAAGACACGAAGATCCTTGTTCCCCACAATTACTCCGGACAGCGGTCTCCAGATTCCCGCCATTGAACGACGTGTTTTTTGCGGAGAGCAAGGATGCTTGCCATGTGTGGCAGGGCGACATGACGTTAAACGGGCAGACTCCGAGAACTACCTCGCACCACCGACCGGGAACAGAGTATCGATCACATGGTAGTATGGTAGATCCCGGTTGACTGGCCGGTAGAGTTGCATTGGCATTTGTTTATATACTTTGTTGATGCCGGTTGCGATTTTGGCTTCATCTTGCACATCTCTCAAGCCTTCAAGATGCGTCTCTCTACCCTCTTCCTGTCGCTCATCAGCGTCGCTACGAGCGTTTCTGCGCACCCTAAGAAGGCAGAGCAGCCTACCTTTTCGCGCAATGTGATCTTCTCACCACCCAGGGACGCCAACTGGACCGACCCCGGTGTCCTTTATGCGCGCAGTGCCCAGCTCGCTGACGGTTCGCTCCTCGCAACCTGGGAGAACTACTCGCCCGAGCCACCAAAGGTCTACTTCCCCATCTTCAAGTCAACCGACGGCGGAAAGTCGTGGAAGGAGTTCTCGCGTGTGCAAGACACAAAGAACGGCCTCGGTCTGCGCTACCAGCCATTCCTCTACGTACTTCCTGAGGCGATTGGTGGCTACAAGGCCGGCACCGTCCTCATCTCTGGATCCTCTATCCCCACCGATCTCTCGACCACCGACATTGTTCTCTACGCCTCCAAGGACAGCGGCAAGACCTGGGAGTTTGTCTCCTCCATCGCTAAGGGTGGAGAGGCTCGTCCCAACAACGGCCTTACTCCCGTCTGGGAGCCTTTCCTGATGATGAACAAGAAGACTCTCATCTGCTACTACTCCGACCAGCGCGAGAACGCCACCTACGGCCAGAAGATGGTTCACCAGACCACCACCGACCTCAAGACCTGGGGCGCAGTCATTGACGACGTCACCTACCCCACCTACACCGACCGTCCTGGTATGCCCACAGTCGCCAAGCTCCCCAACGGAAAGTACATCATGACCTACGAGTACGGCGGCGGACCTGCCATCACCACCTCATACCAGTTCCCCGTCTACTACAAGATCGTATCCGACCCCGAGAAGTTCGGCGAGGCCACCGGTATCAGCCTTAAGTCGACTGATGGTACCATCCCCACTGGTTCTCCATACGTTGTCTGGAGCTCTGCTGGCGGCAAGAACGGAACCATCATTGCCAGCGCACACAGCAACTCTGAGGTGTTCATTAACAAGGGTCTTGGAGAGGGCCCTTGGGTCAAGGTTGCTACTCCCGAAGCAACCTCTTACACTAGGCATCTTCGCGTTCTCAAGGACCAGTCTAAGTTGTTGATTATGGGTGGTGGAGAGCTGCCTCCTGCTAGCAACAACTCAGTTACTGTTACCGTTGTTGATATCAGCAAGTGGTAGACGGATTGTATGGGGGTAATACTCAAGTAAAATCAGTATTAATAACACAACATAAATATGAAGTCAAGATTCTTTCAGACAATTTGCAAGTGCTCTTGAAGTCGTACAATGATTCCGACAACGATAGTGAGACAATTTGCTCAAGCACACCAGCATGTTTCCTCCTGTCTAAGATGTATCTCTCATCTCGGCGCTGGCTCCAGGTTTCGGCATCTTCTGATATACCTTACATAGCTTCATCTGCAGAACGAGAAAGTCAATGTATCAAGTAAATGTACCAGAACACCATCGACCTGCGAACATTTTGCTGGTCAAACAATTGACTAGTCGGTGCCAGCATCGGATGAGACCGTATTACAGTATCAATAGTCTGAGTTCTGGGCGCACCCAGTTTCGAAATCGGCGACACCGACGGGTTTCAAGCTGCGCCAAAGAAGCACCTGTAACGAATATTCAACTACACAATAGAGCAATGACGATGTTCGCGTGTCGATGTTCGCAGGCTGCAGGCTTGGAAAGAGTGATGGTTCGCGCCCCCCACCTAGCGCCCCACTAGCGCCGGCCCGACCATTTTTCCTAAGCGAGCCACCGTGGGTCGCTGAATTTGGCTCTCGCAATATCTTCGAACGCCGCAGCATTCAACGACAAGCCCACGGAACCGCCTCTCTCCACCTCCCAATTCCAAACCAACACCGTCATCATGCCCGGAGTTTCCGTCAAGGACATCGAGTCCCACAAGTTCGTGGCCGCCTATGCCGCCTTCTTGAAGCGTCAGGGAAAGCTTCCCATGTAAGTTTGACCTTTGCGCTATGCGCAAAACCACACGATGTTAAATGCTAACGACAATGCAGTCCAGGTTCGTCTCTATCCAGCGGGTGAAGGATGAAGCCTGAATCCCGTAAATGGGGGATAACCTCAGTTCGCTGACCACTTATCTACAGGCTGGGTTGACACTGTCAAGACAAGCCGTAAGAATCATATCTCCCCACTCATGCGAGAAACTTCGGCTAACATGCGCAGACTCCAACGAGCTTCCTCCCCAGGACATTGACTGGTTCTACGTCCGCGCCGCCGCTGTCGCCCGCCACGTCTACATGGTATGCAGAATGCCCACCGCAACGAACACATAAAGGGACGGAATGCTGACGAATCACACAGCGCAAGACCGTCGGTGTCGGCCGCCTCCGCAAGGTCCACGGCTCCACCAAGAACCGCGGTTCGCGCCCCTCCCACCACGTCGACGCCTCCGGCTCCGTCGACCGTAAGGTCATGCAGGCTCTCGAGAAGATCGGTGTGCTCGAGCAGGACGAGGACAAGGGTGGCCGCCGCATCACACAGTCCGGCCAGCGTGACTTGGACCGTATTGCGCAAACCACTCTCGAGGCTGAGGAGGAGGAGGATGACGAGTAGATTACCACCTTCTACGCGGAATATGTGTAAAAGAGCTGTCTAGCATTTGATTGCGGGCGGCATTACGGATCTACCACGGTTTACGGCTTATGGCGTTGAAAGACATGATTGAGTCGGGCCTGCTTTTAGCCTAGGACTTCCAATGACACTGGGCTTGGGCCTCAAAAGCAACATGATACCCTCTACTTCGACATCCGTGCAAATTGTTCCTGGTGCTGTGATTCCGCCATTGCTAGGATCTCGCTTTCTCGTTGAAGTTCATGCGCCCTTGACCATGTCATGTCCAAGAACATACATTGCATATGGTCTGTTAACTTGTCGTGCACATGCCAATCCAATGTCATTTTTTGCAATATGCAGTACTCTGTACCCAGACTCCTCCGCATACTCCTGATGCTCCCCTCAAAACAGATCCGTCATAGCCCCGTGACTCGCATCCCCCACCAACCTCGCATACTTCGCTAGCACACCCCTCGTGACGGGCATACTAGGCGCCACCCACTCCCTCAACCGCCTATCAATCTCCTCCTGTGGCACATCCATATCGATACGATTCTTCTCCGCATCAATCGTGATCATATCGCCATTCTGCACGACCGCGATAGGCCCACCAACCGCAGCCTCAGGACAGATATGGCCAACGATGAACCCATGAGAAGCACCCGAGTAGCGACCATCAGTGATGAGAGCCACGTTGGTAAGTTTAGCACCCATGATGGCAGCCGAGGCTTTGAGTTGTTCAGGCATGCCAGGACCGCCTTTGGGGCCTTCGTAGCGGACGACTACGACGACGTTTTCGCCGTGGGGGATTTGGCCTAGGTTGAGGGCGCGGTCGAGCTCGTGCTCTTTGTTGAAGACTATCGCTTTGCCGGTGAAGATGAGGCCTTCTTTACCCGTGATCTTTGCGACGGCGCCCGAAGGCGCGAGGTTACCGCGTAGGATCTCGATGTGGCCGGTGGGTTTGATGGGGTTGGACAGGGGCCGGATGAGGACTTGGTCTTGGGGGAGGGACGGGTAGGATTCGATGTTTTCGGCTAGAGTTTTACCTGTCACGGTAGGGATGCTGCCGTCGAGTAGGTTGGCTGCTACGAGCAGTTTCATAACGGAGGGCATGCCGCCGATGTCGAAGAGGTCGGCGGCCATGTACTTTCCTGATGGCGCGAGGTCGGCGAGGAAGGGGATCTTGTTGGAGACGCGCTGGAAGTCGTCGAGTGTCAGGGGGACGCCTGCTGTGCCTGCCATGGCGAGGAGATGTAGCACGGCGTTTGTGGATCCGCCTAGTACCATCATCATGACGAGGGCGTTCTCGAAAGAAGCTTTTGTGAGGAGCTTTCGCGGTGTGATGTTCTTCTCCATGCAGACTCGTATCGCAGCGGCAGCTTTGGCGCATTCGCGCATCTTGGCGGGCGAAGTTGCAGGCGTTGTGGAAGAGTTGGGGAGAGTCAGTCCCATTGCCTCGATCGAGGTACTCATTGTGTTGGCTGTGTACATTCCTCCGCAAGCACCAGCTCCTGGGCAAGCATTCCTCTCGATATCCTCCATGATCTCATCTGGCGAGAACTTGCCCTCTGAGGCACTCTTCAGGTTCTTGTATATGTACGCGCCGTGGCTTTCGTAGCAGGTCGAGATGTTGATAGGCTTCTTAAGCGTCTCCGAGTATCCTGGCATTATCGAGCCGCCGTAGACCATGAGCGAGGGGCGGTTGTGTCGCGCGAAAGCCATGATGACTCCGGGCATGTTCTTGTCGCATCCGGGGATGGCTATGCAGGCGTCGTGGTGCTGGGCGCATGTTACGGTTTCGATGCTGTCGGCTATGACTTCGCGGGTCTGGAGGGAGAAGCGCATTCCTGAAGATGTTAGAATGTGTAGACTGCCAATAGTGGTGTGCATACCCTCTCCACCCATTGTGATTCCATCAGATACACCGATCGTGTTGTACTGCCATGCCAGCATGTTGTCGTTCAAGACGTGCTTCTTGATTTCCTTTCCGAGATCCAGCACTACCCATCATCAGTATACTACGTCGAGACTATATTGGCGTATATCGCGGCGTTCGCATGGGTCACTCACAGTGCATGCTGCATTATCGTCAGTATCATGACAACGAATCCAAAGAGTATACCGACTTGCAAGGGTTGCCCTCCCACCAGACGCTCGCAATCCCCACGTGGGGCTGCGTCTTCATTGCTTCCCGTGATGGTACACCAGCTGCGTACAGCATTGCCTATGCGACGAGAGTCATTAGTGACTGGAATGCTTCTATCGTCGTGGCACCGGGTAGCGAACCTGGGCTCCGGGGAAGTTGTGACCGGTTGTGAGGGTAGATGAGTATTTGTTGAGCGCTGGCTTGCCATCCTCGAGCTTCGCGTCATCGGGAAGATGTGGAAAGCTGAGGAAGCGTGGCTCCTCAGGTTCACGCTGCTTCTGGAGGTTGCGCGGGTCCATGGCGGGCTGCTTGTAGTGTGGTGATTGATAAGAGAAGTCAGTGCAATTGAAGAGTAGATAGGGAGGCACAGGTAGCTCAGAAAGGAGTCAGAGAGGCAAAGGTAAAGTTGAGTCAATGGACGAAGTCGTGAGAGATACGGAGATAACTAGCAGTTACCGTGTATACCCAGGTACTCCCGTAGCAGGGATCTACACATTCGTCGGCTGCCCTAGTGACGAAGGAGCAATCCGAATGCTCGCAACGACAACTGTGTGGGGCATCGACAGCCTTCGTCACGTTGCGCTGGAGCCAACGTTCGGAACGATGGAGGGGTCCGTCGGATGAGAACATGGTAGACGCGTGAGTTTGACACACGCTGCCATTGACCAATGCGACGGGCCTGATTGAAAGCCGATTATGACGATTCGAGGCCATCTAGCGCCGTGTGGTGTGGTTTGGTCTGGGGAATTTACTTTGGTCGCGGCCAAATCCGGTGTGTGTCGGCGCAACTACCGGCGCGGCTTCGGCTTGACCACATGCGGCGCCTGCAACGGCGAAGTCGCTCGCGGGGTGTTTCTGGAAAGACGCCAGGTCGCGCTGGGAATGGTGGGAGCCTCTCGCATGCATCCTGCGAGCCTGGCGCTTTGCATGGTCGTCGCAGCACGCAAGGCTGCATGTCGGCTATGTACTGTATTCATCTGTCATGTCGTACCGCGACGGCCAGGTAAGTCGATCTGACCCGAGTACCGGGTCGTTCCCAGTACATGTACAGTACTGCATTCTGCCTTGGGCTGGGGGAACTGACGACGAAGAGCACACGTCGCTGGTGTATCGGGCTGGCGTCGCACCGGAAGATCCGGATCACAAGAAAAGCACGCGCAAATGGGCAGCAGGTCTCAACAAGACGGGGAGATGGGAGGACTAAGTATGGTTCTCCATAGAGTTCGCAGTGATGATGGTCAGGGGAAGGCCGTTGGAAAAAGGCTCCAGCATCCCTGCCAAGTTCCCACGATGGACGTGAAAACGCCGCTTCCGAAGCCTGGCAGCAGCCCAACCCAACGTCATACCGCCCATGCGCCCATCACAAACCTCTCTACTAAGCAATTTCCATATCGCAAACACTCCCACGCCATTCCCTGCCGAGTTGGGGGTTGCAAGACACTATCGCACAAAGCAAAACCGCTCGCTGCCGCTTTATCTCTCCATATCGCTGTGTCAGGATGATATCCTCGTCAGATATCGATCGCGCCTTCAGATCCCAGATTAAGGAATATCCTTCGTAGCCGCGCATTCGCCGTTGCCAAACGTGCGCAAGGTTTCCAATAAGAGACGCTCTCAGCACCGGCTCTTTCTCTCCAGCGATCCGGGCACGAGAGGCACCATCTGATTCCATTGGCTGCCGCCCAGTGCTCGTTACCGTCCCGCACGCCGGCAACCCGAACGCCCCGTCGCATATACTTTCAGCATTCCAGCACGAAAAGGGACATGGAGCCTCATTCGCGACCTGGCTTGTTCCGCAATGGCACGTTGCGTCTTCCACAGGCTCCCCTCGCTGCCTCACCCAGCGACCCAGTGACACAGACCGCTTCAGACCTTAATCTCTGGTATGGGCACAGTATAAAGCAATCCGCCCTCCGTCTGCTCCGGCTTCTCAACCCATTCGTAGTTAGCGGAGACCGGTTGACTCTGACTTTTGTGGGCATGCTCCAACTGACAGCCTTGTGTGGGTTCGGGTCTGTACTCTGGTATAGGAGTAAGGGAAACAAGGGAACCGCCATCAACACCCAACATGTATCTGATACCGCGGCTGGTGAGTGTTCTGCCTAGCGATACACGTGGATGTCATTCATCACGTGGCCTAGCTGGCGATCATCTAGCCTTGTTTTACTAATCCTCCGCAGATGAAGCCGCTGGTACAGACCCAGGCCTGTTGAAGAAGTACTCCACCGTTCGCTCCTACACTGTCCCGTCAACTGGATTCGTCTATCCCAGGCTCCGGACCTTTTACCGCCCACATCACCAAGAGGACAAACTTCCTAAGGATCCATGTCCCGTTCCACTACTGGTGTTTATCCATGGCCTCGGGGGCTCTATCGCTCAATTCAGTCCCATCCTTATCAGTCTTTCCAATCTTGCCCCTTGTCTGGCCGTTGACCTCCCTGGATGCGGTGTGTCAAGCTTTGAGCCAAAGACATGGGGCGCCTACACTACGGAAGCGTTGGTGCAGCTTCTCGCCGTCGTCATCGAAGCACATCGTGGAGTCAACGACGGACAGCCTATTGTTCTTGTTGGCCACAGCATGGGATGCTCACTTGCTGCGCTCCTGGCTTCCCCAACTTCACCACATGCACATCTCCTTTCGCAGCATGTCAGCGGCTTGATTGCCATCTGCCCCAAAGCTGAACCTCCTACTGAAGAAGAAGTCAAGAAGCTACGCTCTGTCACATTGATGCCTGCTGCTCTTTTCGATCTGATTAGGCGTTGGGATAGAAGAGGAGGCGTCGGCAGCAAGAGCGTCCTACGCATGGCAGGAGTGGATTCTGACGACGAAACGAAGAAGCTACAATTGCGCTTCAACAAGCAGAGCCGAAGTGCCGTGTGGTTGAGGATGGCCCGCGGAATGTGTCCCGACTACTCCAGTGGCGAGCCGGTAGGAGGCCTCCCAGGAAAGGAGGTCTGGAAAGGACTGAACATACCGGTATTCCTCGCCGCCGGTGAGACGGACACAGTCACTCCTGCGTCGAATGTCAAGCAGATTGTCGAGTTTCTAGGAAGGGATGTCAGCGCCATCCAACCACCGAGCGATATGGCGAGCCTCCCCATTGCAGCAGCCCCCTTCGTACCTTCCGCAGTCCTCCCTGACAACGAAATCTCGGGACGTACAGAGCACCAAGATTCCGGTATCGATGTCAAGGACCTACCAAAACTAGAAGACGACACCAAGACCATTGAATCAGCCGCTATATCCACCACGGACGTCAGCGTCTCTTCCACTTCTGAGAACACAACAGAAGGCAGCGTAATCACCACCGACGGCCCCCTTCTCTCCGCCACCATAACCCCCATGAGCCCCACCACCCATATGCCCTCCCCGCACCCTCGCCGCCTCGTCGTCAAAACGGCCATAATGCCCAAACCAGCCGCACACTCACTCCTCTTTGCGCCCTCCACCTCGCGCATAATCGCCGGCCTGATCAACACCTTCTTCATCGACTACATCGACCCGCGCCTCTCCCTGGCATGGCAGCTCTCCTACTTGTCCACGGAAGGTAAATGGGACGTCAAAAACCTCGCGAAATGGAAAGCCGTGCCCCCCGTCTCCGCACCCATCGCCGGCGTCTTCCGCGCTATGAAGACACTAAGAGAAGTCGATGAGGAACACACGCCCAAGGTCCTGACCAGGCAGTGGAAGGGCAAACTATGCGCCGTAATCGACATCTCCCACGACAACCCCGTGTACGACCCCAAAGGCCTAGAAGAAGGCGGAATCCCCTACCACAAATTCCCCACCGTATCCAAGCAACCGCCCCAAGCAGCCGAAGTCAACGACTTCTTCGACCTCGTCGATAAGATCCGCGCGGAAGGAAGGCCGGGGTTGATTGGCGTACATTGCCATTATGGGTTCAATCGCACGGGCTTCTTTCTTGTGAGCTATCTGATTGAGAGGTTGGGGTATAGTGTTGAAGATGCGATTGAGACGTTTAAGCTGGCGAGGCCCCCGGGGATTAGGCATAGCCATTTTATTGATGCGTTGTATGTGAGGTATTGTCGTGGGTTGAAGAGGGCGCCTACGCTTTGAGTGTGAGGGTTCTTGGGTGGCGGTTTTGTACAGTATTCTTCTTTCTCATTGTTTTTGGGATATCAGGGTGGTTCTGGTAGAGCGGAGTTTGGGAAGCGTGTGCGTTTGGGCGTTTGGTTGATGTCGGGATAGGGTGTGTGGGCAATAGTATAGGTATTGGGATCATATCCTTGAATGACATGACATGACATTGGTATACACTTTGCTTGCTTCGTCGACATAGTGCTCGTATCTAGTGGGTCGTTTCTATTGCAAATTATACATCACGATGTGTTTGGCAATACGAGATTTTGTGTTGTTCTTTACAAATCCAGATGCAATAATTCAACTAAGTAAAATACTCAAGTGTATCTCTAATCAATGTGTATTTCTCTCGATTTGAAACGGCATGTACATACGTGGAGAATGATAGCGCAAAACATACATTTAGTACTTGGTGGTGTTCGTCCTTCGGAAGAGCGTGATAGATGTTTGTGGCGGCTTCTCATTTATCCATTCTTAAATTCATACTTTGACGGCCTGTGACATATCAATCATGAAGTACTCAACATCAACAACGACATCATGAAGGTAGAGAGAGATTTCTCGAAACAGTCATGTATTACAGAAGACGGCGGTTTGATATGAAACCCGCCTCTCGCTCCTCGCATCGCTAAACAATCGTGAGAATCCAGATCTCACACTCTTCCTCCGTCATTACTCGGCTTGCTTTCTCTTTCTAATAATCACAAGCCAAGTGTCGTTTCGTCAAGATGAAAAAGAGAAATGTACAACTACAATGATAGTGATATGTCCACACCATGTAAGCCCAGACCGTCCAACGTGTAACAACCTTCGAAATCGTGGTGCCCCCTTCCTTTCCTTTCTTTACGGGACCGGTACGCTCCCATCGTACCTGCATCCTTTCCTCTGCTACCGTGACTGACAACAATTATACTCCGTTCCGTCCATCACCATCCATCCCATTTTGGCGCCCTGCTCCGCATGAAGAAGAAAGAGAATCCGCTATGCCGAAGAATGCGTCCGTGAGTAAGAAATAAGAGACTGGGTAAAGACATGGGTTGAAGCGAATGTCGTGAACGCGTTGAGCATCTTGTTTCTTTTATGCACCCAGCCAAGCCATGCTACGATGAGGGGGTGGCTATCCCTTTGCTCCGGTGGGCAAGTCTGTCTGCCTGGTCATGCATGGGTCCAACACCCCTTGCTGTAGCTCTGCGGAGT